GAGATCGTAGCTAGGGACCGGCGGATTCTGCTCGAAAAGGTGGCAGATTCTGCTCGAAAAGCAGTGAAATTGGCAGAACCATACAAACCTTATGGTGGGCAATTCCTCGAGTTCTGCTTTGGGAAGGCCTCTTTTACGGGCAAAGCAAAGCACAATCATCACCATGTATCAGTGCAGTGAGTAGTTAAACCCGACACGAATGAAAAAATGTGAAATGGAATAAAAACAATATTTGTAAAAAAATAAATTAATTAAAATTAAAATTCAATATCGAACACGAATAAAATAAAATAAAATATGTAAAAAATAAACAATATCGAACACGGAATTAATTCCGGAACTATCTACTCAACCAATTCATAATGCAATACCCGCACACTGTGTCAGTGATGGAACTCCGCTACCCGATCAACATGCAGAGACCACTCAATCACATGCTTAGAAGCCGCTCTTCACAATGGCCAACTCCCTCATCGCATTAACTGGACGATGGTAGGCCGAACGTGCACCGCGAATGCACATTATGGCTGCCCTGAGCAAAGCGAAGGACAAGCGACACCGCACATAGGCCATTAGCTGGGCATACGGTCGATCGGCAGTTGCCAGCAATGCACACAACCGCTTAATGAATGCAGTACACTCCGGAGCACAACAACCCGCCGTGGTAAAGACTAGAGGGGTAAATGAACCACGGTCGACATTGTTGATACGCTCGGCATACTCACTCTTCTTGCGGCGCTCATGTTGCTTCAGAAGATCACTGACGGGCTTGCTCTTGTATTATGCTGCATCCCGGTGGAAGACCCGGACATCGAAGAACGCATTCTGAGCCCGGGTCCAGAACCCACGAGCTCGGACATTAGCTCGGGCGTCGTTCGCGGTGTTTGTTGATGCCGATAAAATAACCTCGCCTGTGATCGGAGCAAGTACAGGCTCGACTGCCACATCTGAGCATACCTCCGTCAGAAGATCCTCCACGATATCTCTTACTTCATTGTGGCGAATTGTCGGGAAACCTCCGCGGGGGCAAATCATCGCATGCGTGGCGTCGAACGGCTCCCCACACACACAGCTCGCTGGTGTGTCCAAGAGAGACCAACCATAGCGGAGAGCTAGAGCGTCGCGGACGTCTCCCTTGGATAGACCATGGTCTGCCAGAGGCAAAACCCCGAGCCAACTCGACACGCCTTTCGTGGATAAACTCTCCAGCCGACGAGCCAGGGCAGGGGACGCACTGCTCTTGATCGTGACGAAATCATTCTGCTCCCTCTGACGACGGTCATGCGCTAGCCGTGTCTTCTCGCTTAGGGCTGCCTGGCGAACATCCTCCGTGGAGTTATGGGTGTATTGATCATTCTGGTGTACAATCTCCTCCACCTGAAGGGCCGTTACAGATCTCGACGCACGGAGCTCTGCCGTACCCATTTGCTGAAAACACGGCAGGGCCATCCCCCCCAGTCGACAGGGCAGGCGGAGAAGGTTCAATTCTTCTGGTAGGAAGGAATCACGGCCCGCTAGAGCAGGTAGAAGCTCCTCCGTGATCACCTTGTCAAGGTCGGTAAGGCATTGTGCAGGGAAAGGTACTGTACGCAATAGGTAGGTCCACCTACCACGTAAACCATGAGATATTGCAGCATAGGCAGCATGTGGCTCCGTTTTTGCAATCTCTGTAAGCTTCTTCAGCTCTTCCTTCCACTTCGCCACCCGTTGCTGCACACTTTCAGCGACCGCCTCTTCCGATCCAATCTCGGAGCCGAGATAACGCAAGTTCCCCGTGACAATCCGGATCCCTGTCTCGGCAAACACTTGGCGTGCTTCCTGCTCCAGCTCTGGCTTGAAAAGGAGCCGGGTCTTTTCGGAGTTCGTGAAGTATCCGTATCGCCGTCCAATTGCCTGCAGCTTGTCCCACCACAACCGGATCTGTCTCAGCCTACCTGCTCCGCTGGAATCATCCGCATACCAGCTCTGCCGGACTGTTGTGTGCTGCTCCTGGAGACGAGTGATGATCGGTATGGTGGCAACTGCGTAAAAGGCCATGGAGAGGGGGTCGCCCTGAGTGGTTCCCTCACTCGACTTGACTTCCCCTCCACCTGCAACAAATAAACGTGCAGCCGTTTGATAGGAGTTCATGATGACGCTGGAGAGGGCAGGACATAGCCGCTGGACATTGTGTAGCGCCGCTTCTCTGTTCAAGCTGTTAAATGCATTGCGAGCATCCACCAACAGCACTCCATCTGTCTCCTCCTCATTGTAAATCTGCTGCACCGCATGCACGGCCGCCTCTATCCCAGCTGGTTGGCCCGCACACTTCTGGATAAATCCGCAGGCTTTCTCAATATCCGGGGCTGCGACACGAAGTACCGCCTTAGCAACAATGCGCCTCAGCACCTCGCCAACCCCGATTGGGCGGACCCCAGGCTTCTTGTCCAGTGCAATAAGCCGACCAGCAAGAAATGGAATGAGGCCCTCCGATGGTATGACACGGGTCGCAAGCAAGCGGGCGCAATCGGCCATTGCTTTGCAAAGGCGTGTTGAGGCTCCTTTGAACGCTAAACACATGCGGCGCCAGGCAGCAGCATCCAGGCCGGAAGGGCCAGCGGAGCCTTCTGTGTGCTCGGCGATAGACTTGAGGAGATCCGGGGTCAATGGGTCAAATCGAATGCCGTCCACCTCGGGGGGCTGTCCACTCAACAAGACTTCCGGGCTGGCAGCCAGCCTCTCTGGATGCTTCTCCTGAAGAAGGTCCCTGACAGAGTGACCATGTCGTCTATTTTGAGCACTCCACTGTCATCATTCCTGCTATCCAATGAGCGCAGTGCATCGTGTACTCTTCCCTTCCTCATGTGTTCAGCAAACATGCGGGCTCTGTCACTCTCTCCTTGCCTCTCGCCACCCGGCCTAGAGCGAAACAAGGTGTCCTGCAGGCAACGGCCCTCCGCAAGCAGTGCATCCAAATCAACGCCCCGCCACAAAGCCATCCGCCTCTGAAGATGGTCAGCGTTAGCGTTAGCTTTGCTCTTACTGTGAGTCACCTGCAACATCAACGATGGCAAGACCGACAGATTATACATAGCACTCGCATTGCTGCCTGCCGAGTCAACGAAACTGCGAAGTTTTGCGGCAATGAGGTTGACAAAATCCTTTCCAACGGACCCTGTTGGAATCTTGAAAATCTCTTCCTCCAATGTACAACCTCGTCAAACGCAGAACTGATTGCTGGGCTGGGCGGATCTAGCCGAGGTGCAGGTCCCGACGGGCCCGACTGGCTAGAACGGTTGGAGGAAACTCTCTCCGGAGGTGGATCGGGCACAGAGTTAGCCTGACTCCCCAGCAAATCAACTGAAGGTGCCGTAGCCACTAGCGGTGGCATGTCCTGGCTTGGTGTTGACGCTGGCGAAGACGCTGGTGCTGACGAAGATGAAATTTCATGTACTCCATAGCGCTGTGTTTGAGGCTCAGAATTTTCACTGCTGGTGTACACTCTCCTCAGCCATGCAGGGGGCTGATTGTGCCAGTCAGCACCTCGGTCATGGTCGCTAGTCACACCATGACCATGTCTGGCAGGCTGAAGCGCTGAGCTATCACCACCCAGACTATCAGGTCGGCTGTTAATAATAGCGCCGACATTAGCGCTGCCACTCAGACCATAGCTCTGGCTGTAGGAAGCGCCAGCTCCGAAACCAGGAGGGGCAGCGACACCTCTTGTCCTGTTTCGACACGTTGATGGAACATTGCGACTTCATACAGATGGTGATGATGATGATGATAATGATGATGATAATGATGGGCATTTTGTGCATTGGTACCGGGAAGTAAAAATGGATTTAGTTTATCAACCAGCATCGGCAGCAGAGCATTGTGCATGCCATCCACCATGTACTGAGGACTAGGCAATCCAATGTTTTCGCCTAATCGGATTTTCGATCGATTAAGAAAATGTCCAAATTCGGCCATATTATGAGCCCCAAAGTTAGAATTCGACTGACTAGCTTGCAACAATAATGTAGCATTTTGACCGGCGCAAAAACACAATCACAGTCATCATTGCCAGTTACGAGATTTTCGCCTATTGGATAAGCATGCCATGTTGACCTACAGGTACATACATGTACATGTGTGTAGATTGTAGGAGTGCTGGATATAGCTAGATAGAGGGGAATATATGTGGACCATGATTCAGATGACGCTGGAGACACCACGCCTCCGACGGTTGTGGATTGCACCTGCGACCAGTTTTCGCTAATCTGTTAGTTCAGTTGTTGGCATCAAAAGCACCCATAATGCCAGTTTGCTGCAATTATTCCGCTTTAATGCTGGGCAGTGCTAGTTTACTAATACAAGTATATAATTCTACTTATAATGGTAGCATTAGCCTTCGATGCCTAGCAGTGAAACCTGTCTAACACGACCAAATAAGGGAACTTTAAAATGTGGTATCTGTCACCAGGTGGTCGCCTTATCCAGGGTCAATTGACTGGAAATAGCACCCATTGGTCCTGGTTGCAGTGGTCTTCTAGAACAGGTGGCCGCCTTCCGAGTAGCCGGCTTGCTAGGATTTGCACAGTGAAACCTGTCTATCACGACCGGTCAAGGGACCTTCAATATGTGGTCTCTGTCACCAGGTGGTCGCCTTATCCAGGGTAAAATAACTGGAAATATCACCCCTGGGTTCTTGTTGCAGTGGTCTTCTAGAACAGGTGGTCGCCTTGACAGGTTTTACTGTATTCCGTTCTCATTAGGCCTACGCATGCAGCCCACGAGTCAATAGCGATCGAGGGTAATATTGGTAAGCATGACTGTATCTTATTGATCTAGCATTACTGATTACTCTCTCCTCTCAGTTCTTTGTCTGAGCTATACTCATTCCAATTTGGTATTCTGCTGTCTAGGAGCTGGGAACTCAACGTTCCTTAGCATCCTTCAAAGCAACGTCAACTTCCGGGCTGTCTCAGAACCCATTGCAGCCTGGCAGAATGTGGCTTCGGAGTAGGTGAGTTGATTCATATCAAGTTTGAGCAGCGTTGTCGAAAATATGACCATAATTATATGGGCGCATTGTACTGAATGAAATGACAATGCAATATACATGTAGTGAAGGTTGGCACATGATTCTGCGCAACACAGCCTGCGAGAAAGTGAAAAGCGAGCATTCAAATTAGCATTATGCTGATATAACATTATGCTGATATAACGAGCAGCGCTCAAAGCATTATGAGTAATATAATCAAGCATTAGCCGAAGATGCCCAAATACGTGTGCCAGCGGATAGCTGAAATAGGGCATGATGCAAAACCACTTGGGGCCGTCAGGTTAATTTTCCTGGACCGAGCCAGCCGGGAAAAAACCCTCGCGCCGACGGACGCAGTAGAGAGGGAAAAAACCGGGTGTATATCCCCAAAGGCGATTGGGCATGATGTAGGCATGGCAAATCAGGAGCACACTGTGCACTCTGACAATACACAAAATTTCTCTTAGTCTAAATCATCAGCTCCGCTTCCAGGAGTAGATCTTCGCTGTTGACTGTTTCGTCAAGATCTGGCTTATTCAAGTCGACGTAGGTTACGTCACCAACAAATTCCTTCATCGCTTTCTCAAATGCATCGTCATCCAGCAGGTTGATGTCATCGAGCCTAGAACAGTCAAAAGAATAAGAAGTTATCTACAGCCGGTAAGACAATACGAAGGGACATTCAGATACTGCTATGGGAATGTCTTGGATGTGATATACTCTAACTACCATGTTGTGACTGCAGTAGTAATAACTGAACCACTCATGTTTATAATTAAATCCCAAAAATGACGGAATATTAAAAGAAAAATTACGTCTAGCATGGTACTCAGGTAGACTGAAATGTTCACAACCATAGGAACCGAATCACCCTCAAGGATCAAGGTGCAGATGCAGCTTCTAAAGCGGTCGGAGATGAGTAAGTCAGACCCACCATACAGTTGCCTATAAAATACGGAAAATTCAATCCGCTGAATCCATGCAAATTCAATTCGCGCCATGAATCCAAAAATGTGCAGTGTGAAAACTCGGACACATTAACGCATGGCATGTAAGGCACAGTGTGATGAGAATTAGCCCGTAACAAGCACTTACCAATCAAATTCAGACTTGGCATCGGACTTCATAGTAGTAGTATCAGCAGTGGAAGGAACTTCACTTCCTTCACTTTGGGACACCTTCTTAGTGGCTGGGCTTTCCTTCTTAGCTGAATAGTGCAGATGAAGAAGCAAGCATTTATAATTATTTAATAATTATATTTACAATGGATCAAGCCAGATTATAGCATCCCATTAGCCATAGAATGCTGGAACATACATATCATACACGCAAGATCACCTACTACCAACCCCTCCGTCAGGAATAGCGTTAACTATTTGCAAAGCCCTTAAACTGTATTGTAGCACACTGCAGCCGTGTTGAAGCAAATGGTCTTGCCACACGAGAATGAAGCAGGACTCACTATCCGAATGTAACGAGAGGTGTAGCACATATCCCAAAGACCATACAGTAAATACCAAGCCAGGCCACACAAATAAACAACCAGAGAAAGGTATCGCTTAAGAAAAGCACAGGAAAGAACAACAGATCGAAATTAACGTCTTCACGCACATTTCTAATACCAGCATGCATTAGCAATACAACTTACCAGAAGAATGACTGCTGAGTCTTGTTATCTTAGCAGGTGTTACCGCTCGAGTGGAACTCTTGGTAGGTGCAGTACTCAGTACTGAACTACATACACTCTTGCCTGCTGAACTGACAACTACTGATGTGGATTCCTTGCTGGTTGAATCGGCCGGTCTCCTTTGAATAGTGGAAGACTGACTATCGGCCGGTCTCCTTTGACAGGTGCCTGCTGCAGATATAGTGCTGTCACTAGTGGTCTCATGGTGCTTGCGTTTCTCAGCACGGATTTCATCTAAAGACTTGATGTGAAGACCAGCAGCGGTGGACGCTGGTGGGGTCGCTGGAACATCACCAGGCTATGGAGCAGTCAGAAGAATGACAACAGAGAGAGCGAGAGAGAGAGAGAGAAGGAGATAGTGAGAGAGCGAGAGAAAGAGAGAGAGAAATAGGGACAGAGAGAGAGAGAGAAAGAGAGAGAGATAGAGACAGAGAGAAAAAGACAGCTAAAACAGCTGAGAGGCCTGGCATTGGCTGATGAATTAAAAAGACAGTGCAACACGTAAACCATAATCCGCAGGACATTATGACGACGCACCTTAAAGCAATGAATGAAGTTGTGAGCTTTATTTGACACATAACTGGCGCAAAGAACTAATGGCACCTTTCCGGAAAAAAAATGAAGAAAGCAAGCCATGCACAAAATTATTAGTGGTGCACATGCAAGCTTCACTTTGAAGTTTGGTGCAAAGTTTGGTCTTGTAGTGTTGTGCACTGGTGTGGTCAGTAGCATTGGTGGTACTGCAATAGTTACTAATTATACATGTTAGCAAGTAGTACCTTTTGGGTTGCTTTTACAGGCAGTGGCTTGGTGTTGGCATGCACCTTAGCCCAGGGTTCTCTTCTCTGTTCTTGTTCTGTGTCCTGCTGACGCTGCTGCTGGAGCTGCTGTTGCTTGGAAAGGCCTTTGGCTCTTAGCTCCTTGACGGACAGCCCACTGGACTGAAGAGGGCACGATGGTAGTGTCTGCCTTTGAGCAGATGATGATGTCTGCCTCTGAGCAAATGAAGATGGCATTGACAGAAGCTTCTTGTTGAAACAATTTGTATGACCAATTTTATTCAGCGACTGAACTTTGAATGTTTCCGCCTTAACTTCCACCTGCAATGAAAAGCAACATAAACAGGACAGGCACAGAGCCACGTACCACCGGCAAGAAGAAAAAGAACACCTGACGACATTTAAAGGTTCAATAAGCACCCAAATCAGCCACACACAGAGAGGAAGAGATGCATACACGTTTACACAGGAACTCAAGAACGCAAAATTAATTTTGCAAAGTAACCGCCAGTGAGGTTGAAGTTCTGCAACTAAAAGATAAAGGGTGAAACGACCGGGATCCTCAAAGGACACCGCCAAAGTCGTCAACAAAAAGGATGGCATATGACTCTGTTAACTTTCAGCACCAGGACATACATATCCTTGCATGTGTCCGTCAGAAAGAAAGGATTAGCAAGTTGTGCTCTAGATTTATGTCTGCAAAAATGAAATATTTCCTTTTCATAAATGAAGGCAATGCCACTATAAGAAGCAAGCATATTGGTGCATGCATGCGGTGACAGTTACAGGCAGCCAGACAGACACAGACAGACCGACACACATCACACACAGTTACACCCAGTCACACACATATACACACACACACACATACACACACACACACACACACACACACACAACTTTGACCTTAGACGCCCATCGACGAAGGGGATGATAGCAATGCTACGGCAGAAGCCACAGCAACTTGTGCTGGGATTGCACCATTCAACAGCTTGCAAGGCTGAAGAATTGCCCGTCACTATTCAGCCTGGCCGACACCATACAGCTATTTGAAGTGATTTTTTCGGGCCAGTGAATCCCTATTTTTGGTCTTTTTCATGTTTTTCCCGCACACACATCACACCACACCCTCCGGCATGCACTGTCTGTTGGTAACCACCCAGGAGAATGAAAGAAAAGTCAGGAAGAGTCTGAGAAAGAGAAGAAAGACGCGTGTGACCATATTCGTCGGGAATCGAACCCCCAACCTATCGATTGGAAATCGCTGCACATACCACTGCACCATATGGGACACACACACACATACACATACACATACACGCACACACAACTCATTCATTGATATACCAATGAATTTTCACGGTTGTAGTACCTCAGGCCAGCGTCGTTTGGCTAATGGCTTCGTTTGGTCTTTTTGCTGAACAAATGCTGCCCTTTTCGTTTGTAACAAACGAATTGGACCATGCCTTGCAGGTCCAAATCTATGCTGTTGATTTGGATGATCGCGAGCATGAACCAAATGGTATCGGCTTTTGGCTCGAGTTGCTCTTCTCATATCCATTCTGGAGTCAGCGGCAGTTGAGTCGGTGGCAACCCCTTGTGTTGGGGCGTGTCGCAGTCTTTCTTGAGAATTGCCAATAGTCCGGATGGTAGGGCTGCGCTGTGCACTGCTGTCACCAGGTATGGTTATCAGCAACTTGAAATCAGGTGGAAGCACCTGCGCTGGTCCAGCTGCAGAGTAGATAGGACAGTAAGGGTTAGCATCAATGATGGATTGTCTTGATGCATGGCAAGCAGTATAGATACGCCGCATCCAGCAACATTGCGTTCACCATGAGCAAGAGTACGCAAGTAACCGGTAAAACGCAACACGCGCAGCCCTTTCCGTACCAAGGACGTATAACCGGTTTGTTTGATTTTCCTAATATTTCAGGTGAAATGGGCCTTGCTTTCACCGTGAGCAAGAGTACGCAAGTAACCGGTAAAACGGACCTCCCGCAGCCCTTTCCGTACCAAGGACATATAACATGTTTTTTTGATTTTCCTAATATTTCAGGTGGAATGGGCCTTCTTGCTTCATACAACTAACAGCAGTGTAGCAGCCATTTTGCCGTGCAGATTTCTATATACATAAAAAAATTACCTCATACACACGCTATTATTGTGCACGAGGGCTAAGTACAGTCTTACAGCAAACAGGAAATGCTTACCTTTGACAGGATTTCCTTGGGGTGCAGTCGTAGTGGGTTGTACTTGGCCAGTTTGCAGAGGTGCAGCAGGACGGAGCTTCAAAAGCTTGAATGGGCAGAACGGCTTGATACACCCCATTAGCTGAGACTCCAAGTAGCATGGCATGCTGCCACGGTCATTCTGCAACACAGTCATCAAGAGCACATCGAAAATAAAGAAACTCAGAATGCATCACCGTGCTCTAGGCTTTCCCCAAATCGCGATTTTATCGCCTGATGGGCTTTTCACTCGGCCCAAAAAATGACCAAAATTCATCAGATTCGGCTGACAAATCAGCTCATTGTTTGAATATTGGCTGCAAAATTGGAATATACTGGGCTCAGGTAGGGTTGGAATGATTGTGGATTTTCACCTTTCGATTAATGTTTAACTTAAAGGTGGCGCTTCACCTTTCTGGCACCTTTCAGAGGGTCAAAAATCGAATTTGGACCCCATTTTCGCTTCCAGATCCTCCGGGTAGGTCCCAACCGCACATCCTGAAGTGAATTGCTTCAGTAGTTTTTAAGATATGGACTTTCAAAGGCCGCTATTGTCAAAAATAGTAATTGTAAATTCAAAAAATTCAAATTTTAACGCAGTAGAATTTACATTACACATGTTTTGCGTGTAACTTTGATTTCGCTGGCATTTTAGCGATGAAACTTCGCGGAAAGGCTGAACATCTCCCTGGTTTTACCTTGCTGCGTCCCACGCAGAGCTGACATCCCCATCGGCATCAGCAGTGCCAGTGCGCATGTCACCACACACAGTGCGCATGTCGTACTTCAAATTTTTGGTAAATATTTTTATACCAGCAATCTCCAATCTCAGCAATCTCCAAACTGTAGCTCTTTATCAGTTTAGCTGCTTTGTTGGCTTTCATCTGTTTTGTGGAACCTCCTTTGATCACTATGGGCAAGAGGCAATACGTAGGCCGTCCTGGTCGTCCAAAGAAGCGCAAATTCCATGGAAATCAATGCGCTAAATAATTTAATTGTCGAGTGAAATTACGAAAATTGTCGTGGCAGAGGACTCTTCTGTGTTGCCAGAAGATAGGGATGATGCCAAAGTTCAACAGTCTAATTCTGGTGAGAGTGAGACATCTAGTGGCAGTGACAGCGACAGCTCTGGAGATGACCATGATGATTACCTGACGACCGGGAGCCGAATTATTTATTTAGAATGTTTACAAAATTTACTTGCTGATAGTGCCTGTTGCTCAGCGTGCCATGGCACCCTTACACTATGTGAAGTACGTCGTGAAGGATTGGATTCAACTCTATCGCTGGCCCGTGACAGCTGCGAGGCTGAAAGCCGTGAAGCTATGTCCAAGAAGACTGGGCACTGCTGGGATGTGAACAGAAAGCCGGCTACTGCAATGACATGGATAGGACGTGGGCATCCCTTGTGAAATTCTGCACTGTGATGAATACGCCTGCACCCATGAATGTCTCTGCATACCAGAAGCACACCAAGGTACTAGCAAAGGCCGGTAGATTTGTTGCCACCAGCAGCATGAGTGTGCAGCTGCGAATGCCAAAGAGTTGGCGTCTTCCCCTGATATTGCGGTCACTTACGACGGAACGTGGATGCGAAGCGGCTTTACCTCCCTACATGGAGCGTTTCTTGCCATCTCGTGGGATACTGGCAAAGTCATCGACTATGAAGTCCTCTCCCGTCACTGCCAGCAGTGCACAATATTTCAGAGGAAGCTGAGCAAACATGAGATCTGCAAGGAGCAGTATACTGCCAACGTACGTGGACATGGCAATGACCTGCAAGGCATGGCACGCACGATATGGGCATTGGTTATGCATTGTGTGTTCAACAGATGACAAGCCGCAGCATCAGTTCTGCCCCCTGGACCAGCCTGTGTACTTGCGGCTGACTGAGAGGCAACGTCTCGAGAAATGCTTGCGTGGCGCTACTCAGAATCGGAACGAGTGCATCAATGGCCTCATTTGGCAGATTTGTCCAAAGACTGGCTTTTGCTTGTCAAGGACTGTCCAGACAGCTGTTGCCATAGCCACTGCTTGCTTCAACGAGAAGAACAAGGCCTTGGAGGAGATTCTTGATCCGATGGGCCTGACAGCTGGTCACTACACGCGGACAGCGCTTGAGAAGTTGGACCGTGAGCAAGCCAAGAATGCAGCCAGGAAATCCTCAGATGAAGTGAAGAGTGCAAGGCAGAGGCGAAGGAGAGTGAGGTAGGGTGTGGAGGAGCAGACTGTTGATGACAAAGGTCTCACCTATGAGACTGGGGCCTTATAAAAAGTAGCTGGCGTGGTGGACACAGATTGTAAATACATGCATTATACTGCAATTTTTCCCCTTTTTTGGCTATTACCAAAACTCTTAACCAGGCTACTGAGATAATCGTGGCCTGCAGACCCAGCAAAGTATACATTTTTGAAATCTGTGAAGCATTAGCTAGACATCGAACCGAAGTTTCAGAGGGTTGCTCTTCATATGCTCATGATAGCAGAGGTCAAACCTTTTTGTTATTTTTTGCGCTTATCGTTCTTTTTTTTCAATCTCCTCCACTTGCTGGCTTGTTTTGCTGATGTCCCCTTTCTTTGGTTCAATGTCTTGCCATGTGTGTGTGCGTGAGACACTGCAGTGGCACTCATTTTATGCATAGGACGCATGGTCTTCTATATTGTGGTTACAGGCGAACCTTTCGGCAGATTTTGCGAACAGATCCGTCACATGTATGCCAACACTAGATAGATGGCATCTTTGGCTTTATGTTTGCTGTTTCTGCAACGGGTATATCCAAGGAGTAAATGCTGAAATTTTTATAAGAATCTGTTAACCCATTGCTCAGATATGTGTGCTTGCGTGGGACGGTGCCGGAAAGGTGTAGCGCCACCGATTAATGATGGATTAAGGGGGCAGCCTACCCATAAATTTCATATGGCATTCAATTGACCGTAACTTTTTTTTCTCAATGGATTTGAGTGAAATTTTGACCACACACTACTGCCACTATGGTGGCCCTCAGGCCATGATTTACAAGTTCTTGCGCCTCACTGACAGGCTTTCCAGGCCGGAAAAACTCAAATTTCCGCCATAGTGCCACGGTGAGCGAGCCACCCAGGAGCCAAACACATGCATTTACAATTTTTTCACATTTTCGTGCCCATTCAGTCCGTGCGCGAGTCCCAAACCTAAAACAAGTCCAGAAGCAGCCATGGGGGGTGGGATAGAGCTCCTCAACGTGGCCCTGGAATCTTTCACAACGGAACGAGTGGGCGTTCTCTCACAGACTCCCACAGACCAAAGTAAATTAATATTTTTAGGTTTAGCACGTGCTACGAGGTCGTACCTTTCATACAACATCCAGTGCTGGGAAGTCCACAGCAAGCTCTTTCCCGTTTTCTGTCATCTCAGTACGACAGCTTGCCAAGAGAAATTGTAAGGGCTCCACTCAGCTTGAAGCGGCTCCATACGTTCAAAGGAGATGTCCATAAGTACCTCACGCACCAACACTGGCTGATGGCTACCGACTTCTACGGATGAACTCTTGATTATGGCACGGGTCGTGTTCCTTGGTTCGGCTATGCTGGTGATATTGGGCTTCATTTACCTTTTATTAGTTAATTTTTTATTATTAATTTTTTATTTAGCTTGTTTTGCTTGTTATAATTTCTTGGTTTTCCACCCGGTTTAGTTATAATTTAAATTATTATTTGGTGCAGCTTTAGCGCAATGACTGTGGTTTATGATTTTTCTTTTTCTTAATTTCGTATTTAGCGCTTTGGGGCGTCATTATTTTCTTCTTATTATTTCGCACCAAGTTATTATTTTTGTGGTATTCTCTAGCTTCTCTTTGTTTTGCAGTTGTTCTTGTGCAACCCCCACCCATTTTTCGATGCCTAGTTGCAACGCTGATGCCGAGACCTCTGGTCGGTTGAGTTGCTCCCAGCACATCAGCACGTCGTCCCTACATCCCCTATGTTTTGTCCTTTTCCTCGTTTCCTTTTGTTCTCCACCTGTTTTCCAGTGGCGCTGCACACCAAATCCTGGATACCCTCAGAAACCGGCAAAGACTACCACTCACGTTCCACTACTGCCTAGTACTGAATCCTACCTCACTTCTTGACACGACTCAAACTTGCCAAAGTCACTAAATCAACGTCAACTACAATAATCAAGCCACATATCTGCAACGTCACGAGGGTGCTGGCAAAAGTCCTGCTGCACGGCGCCAGCTGCAATGTGGCAGTCTACCAACAAATTCGCTCTCTTTTTTCCACAAGCTATTACTTCACAATACGAACAAATTTCCAGGGGTGAAAGGGTAGCTCCAAAACATGGCAGTTTTGAAGGCAATTGACCTTCAGGATATGGACTATGCCCCTGGCAACTGCGTAGTGCGTACTCACAGCGGCAAGTTATTCAAAATCACCAAAACGTGGGTTTTCAAAGTCCCTAACGAAAAAACCTATAACGTAACGATTTGTTGATTGGAGTTATCGATCGCGTAATGAGTAATGGGTATAATTGTTTCAGCCGGAATTGCTATACTTGTTTCAGCTCTAGTTGAAAATACAATGTAGGCTATATGAAGTGTTGGCATATTGGCTTCAAAATTGGTGAGATAATGGAAGATTTGGTAGATTCTCGGCGATTCTCTATGGAACTCTCCAAAATCGGCGAAAAGCTTAGCGATTTCGACCTCTCAATTAACATATCAGTTTTGTGTCCTGTTACAGCACTTTCTGACATCTTATTTAAACTTGTTACAGTCGTGGATCGTTGCGTCGTACATGTAAACCGTTCCCATGTAACTTCTTCTTTTTTTAATTATATGTACTCTAAGTATTGGCTCAGTATCCGAGACATTTAATAATAATAATAATAATAATCCAAAGGTTCAGTTGGGGAAGTGAACTGCCTGAAAAGAGAAAAAATCGCCAGACCCACCAAGACTCGAACCCGCGAACTTGCTTGTCGTGAGCAATGCTCTAACCACTAAGCTATGGAACCGGGCTGAACCTAGTAGGCTCTGACAAGTCACTCCAAAGGCAGCTAACACCACGTGCCACACATACGGATGGCACTTGGGTCTTTCTCCCTCCCCAGGAGACCAACCACGGTCAGTTTCTGGACCCTACCAGAAAAAAAGGCAAGAGAGTGTGCAGGCAAAGCAACCACACAGGCTCGCTATACTTACATGTATTGCCATGTGGCGACGTGGACAATTCGGAACAATACAGCTTCCTCTGGCCCAATCTTGACAGACGTCTTCCTTGCCAAGTGCAGGGGCACTGTGTCGGAATGAACAAGCGGGACCCTTCTTGCAGCTCGAGTAGTAGAAGAAGTAGCAATCATTACCAACTTGAGCCATCTGTTGTTCAAACATTATTTTGTTGAAAAGAAACACAACAGATTCAACACCAATTAACTATAAAAATTGATGGATGAGGATACATGTATCTAAAATGGTTGTTCCTAATCGATTTTCTTGAGACTATCATCAGGGAAAAATTCGTCTCACAATAGAGGCTATACGGAGAAACAAACTACTTATAGGTTATCGGATAGTGGGAAGTATACAAGGTGAGGTGTGAAAAACAAAACTAACTAAAGTGAGACGAATTTTTCCCTGATGATAGTCTCAAGAAAATCGATTAGGAACAACCATTTTAGATACATGTATCCTCATTCATCATTTTGTAATGTCCGCTTCACTTATACTATTAATCGCATTAATAAAGTTATTGTCTCCTCGTCGCCTTCACTATAAAAAAGATTGAACTGGCGATGTAGGTTTTGTCGCCTCATGACTCCGGTTTGGGGCAAGATATTCCTTTCAAATTTTAGATTATGATCCTCTGTCCAGTCGTGTTATTTGTTGGTAATATTTCCAATTTCAGGGCTCACCACTACCATACAAAATTCAAAAAGCGTCGACCACAGTTTTGAAAAATGGCGATGGCCCCGAAACCAGAGCTTGTGCCGATCGATGTACGCGATGTACAGTCGAGTCCTAAATTACAGTTATTTTACGACTCCCTGGTCAAGTCTGCACAGCAAAGCGCCAGAGCCAAAGCAAATCTTGTTGTTCAATGCCGGTAAAACACGCGGAGAAGAAATCCTTTCTCCAAGACAACTTTGGTCATTTTTCTCAATCCGCTGGTGAATGTCAACCTAGATAATATGTCCTTGAGGTATTGGCGAACTGGGTTCCTGCCATCTACACGATAGAACTCAGCGTTTCCTGATCACGGCTCGACACACTGTTTTCTGTTTGGCCTCGCAGCTTTCACTCTGCGAGTGTGCAGTTTCCTGGCCACAAATGAATTCCTTAGTCATGACCATGATGACAAGTGACTGGTATGATCCCTGATGGACCTGAGTCATAAGCTTGAGTCAACACGAAGGTAAACTGTTCACTTGGAACGCTTGCTGCTTCCTCAGTCCATTCTTGTTGCACTAGCAGATATGCGTACGAGAGGACCCAAACAGACACTATTAGATACTGAGATATGGGATAGGTGGTCTCCGGTCCGGGATGGACAGTGAGACTCTGATACAGAGGGGCAAAGAGAGAAAGAGAGTGAGAGAGAGAGAAAGAGATAGATAGCGAGAGAGAGACAGACACACACACAGACACAAACAGAGAGAGAGAGAGAGAGATAGATAGAGAGAGAGAGAGAGAGAGAGAGAGAGAGAGAGTGAGAGAGAGAGAGAAGGAGAGAGAGAGAGAGAGAGAGAGAGAGAGAGAGAGAGAGAGAGAGGGAGAGAGAGGGAGAGAGAGAGAGAGCGAGAGAGAGAAAGAGAGAGCGAGAGAGAGACAGAGAGAGAGACAGAAAGGCAGAGACAGAGAAGGAAAGACAGAAAGAAAGAAAGAAAGAGGGGTGAGAGAGAGTGAGAGAGAGAGTGAGAGCTAGAGTGAGAGACAGAGAGAGAGAGAAATTGAATGAGTCAGAGAAAAGAAGAGCGGGAAGTAGAGAGAGATAAGAGAGAGAGAGAGAGAGAGAGAGAGAGAGAGAGAGGCTCAGTGAGAGAGAAACTCAGATAGGGAATAATACAGCAGTGAGAGAGGGAATGTGTAAATATAATGCCAGAACAAGCGAAAAGGGACATTATCCCGAACTTTGGGCATTTTTTGAGTTATCAACAGATTCTAGTAGCCAGAAGATGTACAAATCACATAGAAAAAACCAATTGGAAATCCATCCACGGATAGCAAAGTTATGGGCACTTCGTTGACGGTGAAACGTTTACGGTAGCTCATGGTGAGTAGTCAACCCGCCAACCCAAGGACTCAGGGAAAAGCGAAGGGAGCAAGGCAGCTGCGCTGAAAGCAAGCTCCTTTGTCTTTTACGCTCGGGCATGCTGCGCGTGCAGCGGAGGTCGCGCGGTCGATCGATCGATATTTCATCGCCAATGCGTGGTATGTGGGTCGATTAAGACAGTGTTTTCTTCTACAGGAGCTGTGGGATGCTGGCTCTGCTACCCAAAGAGTGAATTAGTTCCAAAGAAAGCACGTATCATCAAAAAACGCACAGTTGCAAGTCATCCGAACGTGACAGCCGGAAATCAGCTGATTTACTTCAAGTGCGATTTTCTCAAAATCAAGTGCCGCGGGATAACGTCCCTTTTCGCTTGCGCTGGCTAAATTATTAAATAAAATTTAAAATTAAAATAAAATAGAAGAGTGAAAGGATGAGGGGAACAGAGAGAAACACAGAGCGGAAGACAGAGAGGGAGAAAGAGGACAATGGGGAAAGATAAAGATATAGGACAAACACCTTGAAAGAAGGAAGATAGACAAACAGATACTTACAGTAAAATTCACAATTCCCGTCCGACTTCAGACCGAGAATCGTATAATCCCAACTCTTCTGCAAGGACGATACTTAGCAAGGCGCTAGAAGGATCTACACAGAGAGAACCTGATTCTGATATCTGTTGGGAGACGGCGACTCACTCAGGCACGCAAATAATCAATCTCTGGTGGGAAGCAAGGTGTTTGAAGGAAGATGCTAGAAAACCAACCGGTGACAGAAACTTATCGTGCAGAACTGACTGGAGACTGTAGCAAACCTAGGGTTTTTATACATGTACCCACGCTACGTGACGTCACACTGTGGGTGGTAATTGGCTGCTGATTCGTCAGCGTGTGGTATATAGGGGACTCCGCGATGACACTAGACTTGGGCTTCAATGTGAAGGACCCCACGATAGGCGGTCTGCCTTTGGGTCATCCTAGTTGTTACGTGTAGAAGAGGTCACCGGCGTATCACTTTAAAATCGAAGGACATGTAATTATTAGGTCTACACTCAGATGGACAGCCAAGGATAATATATAAAAAGTAAAAAGGACGAAGGAACTACAAGTGCCTCATTTGACTGGATGTGTGTGTTTGCGTGGGTACTTGCGACCTCAAACCTACCTCAAACGTTATTTTTATTACTCATAACAGGGTACCTCACTTCAGACTCTCCAACTACGATTTTTTCGCTGCATGAGTTCTCTCTTTGTTTCTCTCCTTATTATTCAGTTCGCCGTGGTTAGCTACCACCCGAACAACTCCCAATGCACAACACCACTCGCCACAGAGATAGACAAGTCGAGGTAGCTGAATGTGTGCGAGGCATTCTCCTGGGTGTGTTCCAGTGTGAAGCGTATGTCTGGGTGTCTGCTGCTCAAGACACACAAGAACACACTTCGCCATTGCTGCTGGTAACCACACTTCTCGTGCTTTCCCTTCACGCCGCACTAACACATATTCACACTTACAGACACAGCTCTTCACTGGTCTCCTTCGCTCCTTCCCTTTCTACCAACACACTTCACCATTGCTGCTACCCTACACACATACAAACATTTCCAGCACTACCGCACCACACAGCATAATTATATACTCGGTTCAGTTTTTGTTGGCTTTTAAGTTGATTGGTTTTTCACCGTGAAGATGGGCCATGCCCGAAAATTTGGTGCATTCCATTTATATCTAGTATTATTTATTTATTTTGGAAGTGAAGTGAACTTATGCAGCGAAGAGACCGTAGTTGGAGAGTCTGAAGTGAGGTACCCTGTAATGTGTGAGTGGCTGCAATGGAGTCTGCGAGTGCTTAGAATTATTATTATTATTGTTGTTACTATTATTTTTAACCCCTTGACTTGAGCGCGGATGACTTGTACTAGTGCGTCATAAGACCCACCCAGTAGTGCCTCACGGATGTGCTTATATTATTATTATTACTGTATTATTATTATTATTTAAATAGGCGTCGAGGCGACAATAGTTTTAGAATTGCGATCAACAGAACGAGCTGAACCGACATTTTCACAAAGGCTTTTATTGTATTCAAAAAACGAGTGTATACGACGGCAGTGAAGAACATGGAAGAAAGAAAAAATGTGATGTGGAAGAAATGATGAACAAAAATTGTACTTCGAACTAGTTTTCGCACAACACTCCTCAGGAAGCTACGTTGTACTAATGAAAAACAATCCAGAAAGATACTAATAAAGAGAAATGGAGTGAGAAGAAACAACACCTATGAAAATGATAATCCTAGCACTAAGGTAATAACAGGAAAAACTGCGAAAGCACTTAACGAACTTGTAAGGACTACTAGTATACTGTGACACAAGATATGACACCATGGCCAACCAGAGCCAAACCGACAGAACAAGTTGCTACTAAAACAATTTCAAACGAATAATGCTGTCCTTCTGGACACACAGATTAGGCTTATGAATACGTTGACAAACGGCTTCTAACACACTCAACTGCAACTTATAACCATGACGAGCACGGCACAAAACAGAAAAAGAAGAATCAGAATAAACCTTACAACAATCAGGACGAGATGCAAGATGCTTATACACTGATGACTTCCTACTAGAAAACACACGCTCGCACCCACTCTTACTCACACAATCATTCTCGCTCTCACACTCACCGGAATCACTGGACTCACTGGCCGAATCCTCCTCAACGACTTCCTGCCTCGGAGCAATCAGGTCCCGTCTCCTCCCATCCCTCGTCTCACGTTCCTGTTGTGTATTCCGTTGGTTCGGTACTTCCGTACTGAAATAGGTCATGGTGTAATTAGCAGTTGTTCTTCTGGGTCTCGTTGATATTGAGGTAGGTATTGTTGTCGTCTCTGCCGGTGATGCAGCAAGCGATGCTGATGCAAACGTGTCTGCATGCAACACACGTGGCGTCGCCAAAGCCACATCCACCTCCGCTGGTGGAGGGAGTGACTTGGTCATGGCCACGGGAGCCAATGGTGGACTTGTCGAGTGAGACGCTAGGTCCTGTGTTGGCGGAGGTAGTGGTTGTTTACGGGGTCTTCCCCGCGTGGGACGCTCCAGTTGTGCGCTACGTGGGATAATGTGTAAAGGAGTGTGTTGCTTGATGCGTTCGCTCAGGTGCTGAACAGTCCTACCAACATACCGGCTAGCACAATTCCGGCATTCAAAGTTGTAGATTACATGACTTAAATGATGGGTTGGTAGGACGTCCTTCAACACCGTGAACGAACGCATCGTTGTGTACACGGGTATGAAGTGTACCGCATAGTAGGTTTGTTTAATGATCGCACGAACTTCACGACTCACATTGGCAGACTTCTTGCCCTTCCATGGTAAGCACAAAAAGACAGGACAACGAGCAGGCCCTATCAATTCATGTTTCGGCGTGGGGGCTGTAGACAATCGTTTTGCCAACATGTCTCCTGGGTATCCGTTTTTGGTGAAAACTGAACGGAGAAATTCGAGCTCACCACTGAGTTTACAAGGTGAACAGATCCGTTTGGCGCGATCCACGAGATTCTTTACTAAGTTGACTTTATAATTAGATGAACAGTACGAGTCATAGGAAATGTATTGTCCGGTGAATGTCGGTTTACGATACACCGATGTTACGCTACCAAATTCGGTTTTCTCAACAAGTACGTCGAGGAAGGATAACTTGCTTGACTGCTCGTGCTCACATGTGAAGCGGAGGGAAGGGTGAAGGGTGTTGAGAGCACCAAGAAAGACCTCGCTGTCTTCTATGGAATCAAAGTATGTGAACGAGTCATCAACGAAACGGAAATACAGACTCGGCCATAGAGACGCATCAATCTTACACTCACAGTAACCGACAAAGACATTAGCTAACACGGGACCCAACGGAGAGCCCATGGCTACTCCATCTATCTGCTTATACATCACGTCATTGAACGAAAACTCGACGCCAGTTGTGACTAACAACATCAAACGTCGAAAAGCACATTCAGGTAGCCACGGAGTGTCAACTTCGTCAACACGGTACAACACATCCGCGCAAATATCAATTGTCTCCTCCAGCGGTACGTTTGTGAACAAACTCACTACATCGAACGAACACATATGTGAGTGAGTTGGAACAGGTCGGGCCCGTAGCTTCTCTACGAAATCGAAACTATCTTTAACAGTGTGTTGGCAGTAGTGCTCCTCAACAACTTTCAACAACCTACACAACCACTTAGAGATTGAATATTGTGGCGAAGCTGTCATGGAGACGCTCGGCCGGACAGGACATGTAGGCTTATGTATTTGTGGTAGACCATAAAGGCGAGGACGTATTGATCCGACCGGCTTCATCAAGTCGAATTCATGTGTAGAGATACTCTTATCGGCTTTTAATTTCTTTAGGTAATTGATTAGCTCTGCCTCTACTTTCATGGTTCTGTCAAACTGTCCAACTGGGCCAATTGCTTGGAATTTAGATGTATCAGCAAGGATGACAATCATTTTGTCAACATAGTCAGCTTTGTTCATAATGACTGTAGCACGGCCTTTGTCAGGTCTGGTTATGATGATGTCCTTATTCGCTCGCAAAGGACTATGGCCACCAATGAGCATGTCGACCTGGCCCTTCTGACGTCCGACTGTCTACAAAACCTGGCCACCCGGACTGGCATCCCGAAAGCGGACTCCTTCTCACGGCCCGACCTGGTGGGAGCGCTCCGGAAGGAGGGGATTGGGTCCCACCCCATCCTGGAAGGTATGACCGGTATAGGACATGTCACGACTGCTTTGGCCGCATTGTCCTCGACAATAATGGACCTGAATAAAGAAATAGTGGCAATTAGGGTGGGAAGAGATGATGAAATTGCTTCCTTGAAGCTTGAAATTCAACAGCTGAGGCGGGAAATGGCTGACCTGCGAGATACTAGCGTACACACACAGCACGCCATGCCACACCAGTACAGCGACGTAGTACTAGGAACCGCCACACAAACTGCAAGTGCACGTGCGAGGCTCAGCACCACAACGGGCAGGTCTGTACAAACGTACGGTACACACGCCGGCAGTGGCAGCCTGCCAGGAGAAACGCGTGTGCCACAACCCAACACTACTAGTACTACAAGTCGTAGTTCCAGCCCCGCAGCAGGCGTGCATGCATCCCGTAGGTCCAGCACTACTCCAAGTCGTAGCTCCAGCCCCGCAGCAGGCCTGGATGCATCCCGTAGGTCCACCGATACTGAACAACAAGTACATGAATGGCAGGAACACCAGGGCAGACGCACTCGAGCCGCCCAGAGACAAAGGCACGCGGCAGATACTAGTAGTCAGTCCCAGCTAGCTCAAAGCATAACAAGGCGGGTGGAAACATCCCGCTACACCAAGCCGGCTCGTGATAGCGAGCCGGCAGTAGACCTCACGGCATCACCCCGGGCCAAACGCAAAGTGTTTTACGTTGGCAACGTGCAGCCACACTGCTCCGCATCATCAATTGCTGAATGGTGCTCTGCCCGAGGAGTGCAGATTCAGGAAGGTGTCATATTTGCATCCAAGCACTTCAGAACTGCCTACGCACGGGTGACCGTCGAGGCAACTGATGAGAACACAGTCGGTGACAAAGGGTTCTGGCCGGATGCTCTTTCGCACACGGTTAGGCCCTGGCGTTTTGCCGCGGACAGTTTTGACACCAGCAATGTAACAGTTTTCCCCTGTTCTCTATAACTTTACACTCCCTCGCACCTCATGCGTCTTACGCCTGTCTATTAGCACCTTCATTGGCGCCATT